CCCAGCAGAGCAGGGGGGGCTGGCGGCTGCATCTGATTAATCCCAGCCCAGTGCCCCAGTTCCCTGGCAGATCCCAGCAGAGCCCACGCCTGCTCTCCGCAGGCAGAGCCCTAAAATTGGAGTATGAGCTGTGGAAACACCACCTACCCCATGCCAGGCATGCAGGCCCTGGAGCACAGTGTCCTCAGCTCCTGCCATGGCACAGTCACCAGCTTTTTGGATTTATGAGCAAGGTAAGTCCTGCTCACAAAGTATCAACTAGACAAAGAAATAACAATATAAATGCATTGAAGACCCACAGTGAAAGGCAAATGTGCCTTACACAGGCAATCTGAAAAGGTCACCAGAATGTTTGTGGCAAGGATACAGGTATTTTCTAACATTGAACAACAAGACCAAAAGGTAGACAAGGAAACCACTGTAATACAACCCCAGGGAGTAAATAAATACTGCCCCAGACCAAGAATTAGCTCTAAACCAATTGTGTTCTAATGAAATCCTCTACAATACAGCCACCAATTCACACACCTCAGTGTCATCAGTAGAACAGGCTGTTAATTAATGTTTTTCTGGAACACTTTCAGAAGTTGATATCTCAAACTATCACTCCTCTCCTGCTCCCTCTGGACAGCCTTTACAATACAGATGAAAGGGGAACATCCTGTCCCCAACTATACAGCACTGGAGGAGATTTCAAAGACAAAGATCAATGCCTCATCTTCTGATTTTTGGCATGGATCTTATCATTCAGGGTTATTTCTTACTTGACAATTCCCAACAGCACATTTTACTTATTTACAGAAAGACAGGAATTAATAACAGCTCATGACATTTTTATTTTAATGAAATTTAAAAAGGCAGTTATTAGTTATACATACACACAACTGATTCTGTACTTGTTAGTCATAAATATAGAACATTCAGAAGTACAAAATACACTTTATCCACAGCACAATTTCACATCAATATGAAGAGTTTAAACAGATACGTAACCAAGTGCCTAACAATGACAGAAGCCCATTTTTGGAGTTGTTTCCTTTTTTTTTTCCTTTCTCTTTCTTTTTTAAAGACCTTTAATCTACACAAAGTAATCAGTGCCCACAGTAATCAGTTTCATGAAATGCACTCTGGTTTAGAGTAGAAGTCTGACCTTTTAAAGACAATCAGATGCCATCACCTTTTCTTTACTCCATTAACAGCAACAAGTCCAAGCCCACATTCTCTTCTCACAGTTAACAACTGTGAAAAATGGGGCTCTGGCAAAAAATCACCTGAAGCCAAAATTGAGCACTGCCAGGAAAAGTGAAAATATCTGAACTAGAAATGAGTCCACTCAATACCTTGCAAACAAAGAGCAACAGCAGTATGACACCGATAAGGCATTAATGACAAAATGGCTGTATTATTCTTGAAAAAAGAGTACACCTATGTATAAAAATATATGTCATAGCAATTGGGTAAATCCAACACTATTTAACACTGTGCCAAAAGTAATTAAGAGTTAAAAAGGCAGTTCTGCAAGAAGTATTTACAGTTTCATACTGTACTTCAAAAGAAAAGAAAAGGCAACAAAGCTACAAATGGAACTATCTGGTTGAAGCATCACTGTAGGTACTGCTAGTAGCACTTGTACAAGTAATGTGATGGAATCTTGGATTGTTTGTCTGAGTAAGTGAATATAAATATTTTAGTATCTAAAACTGTCTCAGTCTACATGTCTGCTCCTTGAAATAACTCACCCAGACCATCACTATTTGCAGTTTCCTGCTCCATGAGTTCAAAACCCAAAAGATTCAGTTTCAAGAAACACCGTGTTTGCAACAGTTCAATCAGAAACCACAGCTTTATTTCCAGCTTAGGAAAAAATCCACAAAAGAAACGAGAAATCCACCACCTAAGAAATTCTGGAAATTGGAAGCCAAAGTGCCAACGAAGCTACACCGACAGCAAGTAATAAAAACATCAGCATTGCCAATGCACCTTAGAACTGCAGCTATAGGATAAGCCAAGCCGCTGTAGTAACGAAACACAAGATACAGCACAGCCAAGGCTACACAGCTCTGTCAGCCACAGGACTGGGGTGGCTGTTTGGGAGCAGCAGGCACGGACACGGCAGAGCCCCGCAGCACGAGCAAAGCCTCACCTGCAGCAGCTGCTGCCTCAGAAGCACAAAGCTGCCAAAATCCTCAATTGCTCCCTCCTCGCTGGCTGGGAACAGCAGCCCAACAACTCCCACCAGGCTGGGCAGATGGGGCAGCCAGGAATGGCAGAGGAGCAGGGCAAGGGTGGAAATGCCAAGAATAAAATGCTGGCTCGGGATGGCACAAGAAACAGGGAAAACCCCAAGCTGGCACAATCCACACTGCCCTTCCCAGAGCAGCCACCCCCTTCCCCAGCCAGGAAGGCAGGAGGAGCCCACAAGGTGAGAAGCAATCCATGCTCTGATCCCTCAGGCGTACTGACTTCAAAAAAACAACAAGAAAAAGAGAGATGTGCTTAAATTTCTTCTAACAGTGCACTTTGAACTGCACAACCAAAATCTGTACAAGAGAAGCCTTCTCCAGTAGTAAAAAACCCACAACACACTGAGGAAGTTAACATTGCTGATGTCAGGAGAAAGAAAATTACTTTAAAAACCTTATTTTTAAATTGAATTCAGGAAGTAAAATAAACTATAAATATACTCAGAGCAGTTTATTGGGTAAAATAAAACACAGGAACAGCACTTTTTAGCTGAATTCATTATTCACTTTAAGGAAAAATTTATAAAAATTTCAGAAGAACTGACATTTATCATGTCAAGCATCTTCTGTGGAGAGACACAAACTGCTCACCTACTGCTCCCTCCCTCATAAGCAGCCCCTTTCAAAACTCTGCAGAGTGAGCACCTCACTCACTGGTGCAGCATCCAGGCACCTCTTAGAGACACCAGTGACCTTTACTCTGAGGCAGCAGAACTTTCTTTGCCTCTCCAATCCCATGAGCAGTCATTCACGTGAGCAGCATGAGAAGAAAGGGAGATGGCTCCAAGAGAATAAACATCCATGTATTTAAAAGCAAAGTGCATAAGCACATGGCTTACTCACCTAAGATAGTATTTTTCCTGATCTCAGAAGGAGAAGAGATGGGAAGATTTTTGTCTGTTCTCAGTGTGATTTGGTGAGGCAAGTGCACACCAGGAGATCTGAAGCCTCTCCAATACCTCATCTAGAGATATACAAAACTATCTAAAAAAAAGACTCCCTAGCCCCACTTGCACATAGGGTAAGAGATTGGTCCCAGATTTAGAGAGAGGAACAGTAAGGAGGACTCTCCCTGGCTACTGAACACGACATGCTGACCTGGGAGAAGGCTGGGACAGCAGAGTCAGATGGGCACAGCCCCATCTGTGCCAGCCCTGTCCCTGGGCCACGCTCACCTGAACCCTGCATGGCCAGAGCAGGCTGTGGGGCAGGGCCTGCCTGCTCCCCAGGATCTTACCCCAAAAATATGGACTGTGGTGATGTGCACTCTGACCCCACTCAGAGACACCCCAGAATTTGAGAGTGGCTATGAGAAGGCAGAGCTTAATTCTGTGAAGTCTAAGAATTGCTGCACACACTGAGATCCTCTGGATGGGGGCTATGCCATGGGAATGCTCTTCCCAGGTCTGTGAGGGCCCCTGGATGTCCAAAAGCTGAGGGGAGCTGCCTCCTCCACCTCCTCTGCAGAGGCTCCCTACCAACACCCAACCTCAAAGGTTATGAGCAACCTGCATGCAGGAACTTGGGGTTTTGTGAGTGATTCTTTCTCCAGAAGAAATGACCGGGATAAAATCCTTAAAATCCAACCTCTGTAACTCACCATGCATATGAAATACTGAACAAAAAAGATTCCTACCACATCTCTCATGAAGACATATGGCAGGTGACTCACCCAAGAGGAAGATGATTAACTTACCTCTGTGGAAAAAAGCACACAGCATTCAGAGCAGTCAAGAGTCCTCAACAAACTTGGTATGCTGAAAATCCCATATTTAACAGAACAGGGTTAGCAGGGTTTAACAGAAGCATTTGCTTGGGAATCCAAGCAAAAATTCAAGTTATCACTGTATATGCAGTGGACAATAGTCCAATCAATATCTATAACCAACTCACCCTAAAAAAATTATACACTACAAAACCATCTCACTGCTTGCAGCAAATGAGCTTGAATGATTTCCTAGTAACAGGCCACCACCTTCCACTATTAAAATGTGAGGTTTCACAGTATAAAAAAGTACTTCACAGAAAGGAAATGCAGCTAATATAGAAAATGCAATCTTGATGTGTTTACAGTCATTTTTAAGAGGCAATATTTTTGGGAAAGCAAGAACAATAATAATTAAAGCAGCCAGTGAGAAATGTACAAGGTTATAGGCCTCAATTCAGTGCAAAACCAGACTAATAGCTTATGTAAGTAAATGTTTGTTCTGAATAGAGAACCACCTGAATTAAAAGTAACAACACCTATGTGAAGTGATGGAGACTCCCACAATATTCAAATCCTTCACATACATCATCAACCTTTTCAGTACACTCCAGAATGGGCCCTTTGTAAAGGCAAAAGAAACCAGTACAGGATATCACTTCATACAGCACAAGATATACATAAAGTACCAAAATGTACACACATTCAAGTTTAAGTTAGAAAAGGCAGAGATGAATCTTCTGGTGAGAGAGGCCTACATTATGTTGCTTAATCTCAACATTTAAAGTGACCTAAAACCTACAAGAATCAAAGAAAACAGAATATTGTGTCTGCTTTCAGAAACTTAAGCTTAAAGCAAGGCATCAAAATTGAGCGGTAGGCACTGTAACGAGACATGACCTTACCTGTTCTCTGTTAGTCTTTGTTACTTTGTTATCTATTGAAAAATTACCATTCAAAGGAAATATGCATCATTCACATTTAAATATTTGAGACTCAGAGATTTTTTTTTTAAAAAAAAACAAAAATTTTAACCCCGAAGGAAAAGAAAAAAAAAAAAAAAAAAAAAAAAAATGGAGCTGTCAATGAACACTAACAAGTGCTGGAGCTCCTCTGCTGGCACTGATGCACCCCAAGGAGGAGAGAGCAAGCCCTACACCACTATCTGAAACATAAGAAATGTGTCTTCTGGTTTAGTAGCTTCTACAGAAATGCAACACAGAAAAAGCAGCGCCAAAATTACACTGAAATGGCCTTGGAGAAGAAGAACTTCCATTTCTGCTTCGCAAGCTACTCAGAAAATGGTGGAAACATGCCCAGGTCAGCAAAATCTTCAATGTTGTAATTGCCAGTACCCTGTGTTGGATCCCCAGGCATCGGCAGCATGTCCTGCATGGTAAGGAAAAACCAAAGTGAAGTCTCACTTGCCAACACATTATCCAGACACAAACTGTTTCCTGTTCATTTTTTTCAGTGTAAAACCAGAAAAGGCCAAATTTAGATAAATAAGGTGAAAACCAGACCTGTGCAGAGGGTTGGGCTAAGGTTTATGTGCTACTTATGTTTTGCTGGAATGTTTCTGAACAAGAAACGGGACTTAAGCAGGGCAGTTTTGGATTGCTCCTCTGAAATAAAACACATCTGAGCTGCCTCCCACTCCTACCAGACTGAAACAGATCCCCTTGGAATGGGAGCCACATATGGAGAGAAGCAAACACTCCGGTTTCTCCATGGGAAGTGCACAACATCTCTCACACTGGAACTCCAGCGGTGTCAGGATGGGTTTGGGCAAGGTCTCACTTCCTCACCAGCACTCTCTAGCTGAACACTGCTCTGTGGAACACTCAAGACTGGACATCACCCCAGGTAATAAGGTACCCAAGCACCTTCATGGATGTACAGAGGCAGAGAAAATAGCAGGAATTTCTCAGGAGAAATGGGCTTTCGTGGTAACTGCTCTCACGTGTGTTGAGCCAAGTGAGGTCTCTGCAGGAGGCTTCAAAAAACATTCAACCTTTCCTCTCAGCTGGAGACTGAAGCCACAGGGAGAAGATATCCCTTTCTGGGAAAACCAGAGTTTACACTTGCTTTTCCTGTCAGTCTTTACAATAACAAGCTCTTACCACAAAGCCAAGTTTTGCCAGGGATGGCTCACTATCCTCACAACAAAACAAAACAAAAAAAAAAGTAAGAAAGCTCGCAGGATCTGCTCTGTGAAAGAACTGAGAGCTGCTGTGTACTGGGGAGTTCCTCCAAAATAAATACTGAGTAAAATCTATCCAAAATCTTCACAGCATCCTTGTCAATGTAGTGAGAGAGACTGTGAACACAACTGGCAGTGTCTGAACTGCCAGGGTCAGCCTTAATTTTCTGACCAAAACTTGGACGACTTTGATGTTTTCCCACATTCTCTTCCAGCCAAAGGGAAGCTGCAGCTGCTCCCTCCTGTCTACATTTCCATCTCCATTTCTGTTGCTGGGGCCTCTGTGGCAAAGTCTCCTCAGGCACAGATCCAGCAAGGTCTCCTCTTGAGTCTGCCTCTCTCCTTAAGCCCAGCTAACCCAGGGCTGACTTTGGGCACAATCCAAACAACTTCTTGGAGGCCTTTAAACTCATCCAAGTTTTTTATCCCATCCAGCTATTATCCTAATTCACCTCCAAGAGCTCTGCAGAGAAGCCCAGCTCTCCTTTTATCCCACAGTCTTCCTTTCCACTAACTTCATGAGAAGTTTAAGAAAGAAGCACGACACTGCTTGGAGTCCCATGTCTCTGCTGGCCATCAAACCATGCTGTCAGCAGCTCCACTGGAATTACCCTGAATATCCTCGTGGACAGCCACTAACCTTTGCTAACACAAAGAGATGCAACAGACCAATCTTGCCTGGGCCGTGGGCTAAGAGCACACAGACAGGCAGTTATTCCAGATGAAGTGCTGTTGCTTGATCTTGTGTGAAAACAATGGTTCACCCACACAGGAATACTCCCATGCTCACAGCTCTTCTGCAGCATTCTTGCACATGAGCCCAGTCTTGCAGGTGAATTTACTTTCCAAAAGACAAGGAGGTGCCCCACTTCTAAACCTTGCTTGGGGCTTGAACTATCTTTCTTGAATTTATCTGCATTGTTTTCTTGTAAACTGTCTTATTCATCTCATTTAAGAACCAGTTATACAAGGACAGATATGTTATTAAATTAACTTATGAAGTCCTACTCTATAGTAGGATTTTGCTATCTGTAGTCAAGACTCAGAAAGATAGTTAATTAGGTAGTTGAAGATGATTGTTTACCATCTATCTGATATCTGACTGGGCTAATCCTTAAAAAATTATTGTGCACTATCTTCTGTGCAGTATCAGACTCCTATCCTGGTTGAACTGTCAAAGAGAATGACATTGGTATCTAATGGAACTTGAGATGTCAGAGGCCAGCACCAGGATAAGAAAGACAATCCACTTGGGAAGACTTCATGGGCTCTCTGCAAAAGATGAAAGCCCTAAGTATAGGGTGCACAGAGAAGGGAAAACAGCGTTCTGTGTCACCAAAGATGCTGCTGTGTGGCAGAAACCCAAAGCACCTCAGTAGCAGGCCTGTGGCAGCACGCAGCAGCAGGGAAGGGCTGCAGGGGCCACGGCTCTAACTCAGAACTGAGAGGAGACCAGAGGGACTCTGGGCTCACCTGGAACACCTCGGTCTGGTTGGGCTGTGGGTGCGAGTGCTGGTCGCCGCTCTGCTGGTTGTGGTGCTGGCTCTGCCACTGCGACCACACCTCGGACGGTCTGCCCTGGAACTGCCCGCTGCTCTGGCCACCTTCAGCTGCACGGGGGAAGAAAAGGCAGAGGTCAGAGAGCAGCTCTCCAAAACATCTGCTTGCTTTGGGGAGGCATCCATCAGTGCCTGGATTTGCAAAGGAGCCTTGGAGAAAGGCCCTGGGTGACAGCAGCCCTGGGAGGAGGAAGCTGGAGGGAGTTTCAGCCCCAGAGCAAAGCTCAGGCCCACAGCTGCACAGCCATGAACTGCCCAGAGCAAAATGCACAGTGACACAGTGAGCCAGGCACTGGAAGACAACTGTCAAGCATGCCCACCATCATTTTTTCATCATAATAAGGACTATTTTTCACTTAACTTAAAAACCAAACTTCACCATCTGAGTGCTGTTTCTCTTCAAAACACTGAATTCTTGTGGAGCAGTGGGTGCACAGTTTGGTACTCATCTAAGAAGCATGTAAGGAGATCCAGGATTTTTAAAGCAGATGTAGAAACAGTATGATAAACAGACAACAGCCTTGCTGATTAAATACAGGTATTGCTGGACTGTCCTGTCCTTCAGTGATACACCTGCAAATTGATTTATTTAATACGCAGTTCATAGCAAATTATTATCCTGTCAATATGGTGATACTTTCCTAAAAGTCTCAGGCCATTTACATTTGACAGAGTAACATGAATAGCAAAGCTTTATTGTAAATACACTTCAAATGATTATTTCAAGGAGATTAATTTCTTCTAAATAGTCTGCCAGAAAAAAAGCATGTTGCCACACATTAATTTGGTTACCTATTACACATACATTTTTTATGAGTACAGCAATAGATAACACTTAAGCTGGGCTCATTTTACCCTGCATTTCTACAGACTGCCACTATATTTACGGCTAATTTCCCATTCATTAGTTACAGTATCTCCTTCTAAGAACCAGCATTTTAGAAAGCTTGCCACCAGGCTTATGCTTTTCCTCCAAACATTTTTTTCCTCTTTTTTCTTGTTAATGTTTTTCTCTTTAACTGCCTGTTTCCCTCTCACAGCAGAGGAACAAGCTGTGCATGTCTGGTTCTTCCTGATCACCAGCATCCTCTGCCAAGGGTGCCAAATTTCCTGTGCCAAACCTCCACACCTGTGCTATGCCAAGTCTTTGATAGCCAGACTCAATCACGTCAAATCAGCCACTACTCACAGTCATGACTTCAGAAAATACAGACACACGTATTTAACCCAATCCCTCTGGCCATCAGCTAAGCCATGCAAAACAGATAAAGGGAAGGTTTTACAGGAAAGTAAACAGGCTGTAGTGATGCATTTCTATCACATCCAAAGTAGATGATTACAGTTCTTCCCTCACTGACATTACCACAACCAGTAATTCATCTGACTCAAAAACCCTGCAGACATTTTAAGAGCCAAAATAAAATTCATCTAAGCTACCCTTTAAAAGCAAGCTGCAAGTTTGTTTTATTTCCCCTCAGAACAACACATTGAAATTAAATGAGTGAAGCAAACGATGCTGCTTTTCAGCAGAACAGCTCCTGCCAGCCGGCGGTCGAGGCCGTCTCCGTGAAGGCTGGGTTATTAATAGCACCCAAACTGATGTAGGTCAGGAGATGTTTCTCATTAAGTGAAAGGGTTCTTGCCAAGTAGCTTAAGCCTGAAATACAAAGCTGTCTCATAAACAAATGTACAATGCCTGGTGGAAATGGAAATGGAGAGAGGAATAAGCTGTGTGGGAAGAGCTCCATCTCCATGCCCTTTCTGTGCCAGGTCTGTGCCAGGTTTGTTCCCCAGGGACAGGAGCAAACAACACACATCAGCACACTGCCACCCGTGCCTTTTGGGATTGCACATTATTGTCACCCAGTGACATTTCTCATGGAATCCATTATACATATCTTGACTATTATTCTTCTGGTGCTGTGCAAAAAAACTTACAAGGGGTTGCCTACCAGGTCACGGTCTGAAAGCCACCAAATTAGCATGTAATAGGAAAAGAAAATAATTTCAAAACATGGTACCTACTCTGATTAGGTTGGTAGCACTGGGGGTACAAAATAAATCCTGTTTTCAGCCAAACTTCAATGTGCAATCTCAGTGCAAGAGGATACCACCATGAAGAAGATAAAAAATGAAAAAAAGAGGCAAATGAAACCAGTTGACCACAATTTGGGAGGATGGTTACCAGTCCCATAAGCAAATTTTTAATCTTTCAAGATACCATTTACTGGGAAAAAATAAAAAAGTTCCCTCATATCATGAAATGACAATATTCTGAAGTGTGTTGGATGTGGAGGAGATGGAGCATACAGAGAACAGGTCAGTTCTGTCCTCTCTACTCAGTAGCAGAAAGCAAAACCCTTTCACCAGTTGGGCTTTCCAACTGACCCACCAAAAAACAATAAAAAACAATTTTTAATGATTAAGTATTGGAAGATTTTTAATGAAGTTAATGCTGGAGTTTCATTTCTATGTGCATTTGTGTGTTACACCATTTAAAACTCACCAAAGCCAGCACTTCGGTTTGCTAGGCTGGAGTAGGCATTCCCACTTGGAGAAGAGGTGGCTGGGCTGGACAGGGGGCTGTAAGATGATGGGTCAGCTGGGTAGGTGTGACTTGTTCCAATGCCAAAGGGAGACGACTGAGCCTTGCCAGACTGAGATGGAATTTGCTGAGGAGTAAGTGTTAAAGAAGGAAGTTTTATTGTTGGGGACCAGCATAGCAGAATCACTTTTTACAACATAAAGCAAAGACTAAATAAACTCTGTGGATGCCAACAGGGACACTTCTCCTGTCTCAGCTGTATTTAATTTCTGTCCAAGCCAGCTTACTGCTGCAGAAGGAGTACAACAGGCTATAAACCAACACCTCCAGCTCACCTGCTGTACTAATCAGGTACTCTGTATCAGAGCTATTTGGAAAACCAGGATTTCTTTTACCACTATTATGAGGATTAATCTCAAACTCAACAGGTAAGAAGAATTCATCTGTATTTTCCAGGTGTATTGATTTTGCAGTGCCACAGTGAAATCAGTTATCTGGATGTCTTGCAGGACACATGCAGGTCTCAAGATGACCAGAGTCTCAGATCCCAACAGGCATAGAACATGTGGAAGATACTATTAAGTCTTCAGTTCAGTCCCAAACTAAGAAATTGTACATTTCTGAAGGTTTCCACAATGGCAGTGGGAGCTCAGCATGTCACTTTTGCAAGGCTTAGCTCCATTTTACTTTGTTTACGGTGGAAGAATTAATTCAAATTTCCTTACACTCACATCCAAACTCAGTTGACTTGGACAGAATTTGTGCAGTAAGAGGGATGAGTAATTTGTTTTAGTAATTTTCAGCACCTTCCATATCACTTGAAGAAATGAGTTAATGTTGCAACTGGATTTCATTAACCAGGTGTGACAGAGAAGCATGACTCTCTGAGGGCTGGGAATAATCACTGATTAATGTAGAAACAATTCACTTATTGGAAATTTATTTAGTGACCACCCCAACATGCCATTCCAGCCTGCCAAACAATGAGAACTCAGGAGGAATTAAGAGCAGCATTATTAAAATCAAACTTACTTCATATTATTTGTCTTTTAATAGAGTTTTGAACCATTTTTTACCTGTTACACAGAACAAGAGGTGATTTCTGGGCTAACACTGACAAGCACAGTGCATCTGATGGAGGTATGTGCTGCTTCCTCCAGCACACAGCAGTGTGAGCCACACTGGGCAGTGCTAATGGAGGGGTGTGGGAATCCAGGGCTTCCCTCTGGCTGCCCTGGGACCCTGGCAGGGGGTCAGGAACCCCACTGGACAAAGCTCCCAGAGACACTGTCTGTGATCTCTGCCCATGGAAAAGAGTTTTCAATCTTACAGGATGAATTGCCAGCTCTGAGTGTTTGATATCAGTAATAATTAAGTGTGGCACGGGTGCAAAAGTAAAATTTTAGGATTCTAGATTAGGGGTCCAAAGGGGACAAGATGGAGGAAATTGGGTGTGCCTTGTCCTTTTTCTCCTTCATCATGCCCTCCATGTTTCACTGTGGTGTTGGCATTTTTCTGTTGGTTCAGGCTGGGGACACACTGTCCAACGTAGGTGACAGATATTTGCACATTATTGTAAATCCAGCCCAGGGAGTTTCTGGTATTTAATGTTTGTAACATCCCACTGAGGGCAGAGCCCCACACGCTGCCCTGCAGGACAGAGCTGGGCAGGGCAGCAGAACATGTTAGAGATAAACAGAATAAACAACCTTGAAGCCAGCACAGACCAATTATGGCTTCTGCTTTGGCAGCGGGGCAGAAAGACAGAGACTTTCTACAATCCCAGAATCATCAATAGCACAGATTCTGACAGAGGGGCACCAGGCTGAGCAGCCTCTGCTCTCAACCCATGCCTGGATTTGCACATACCCCTTCTTCCCACCCTGATAACAGTGGGTAACACTGCTGGGTGCAAGGTCCTGGCCCAAGAGAGATTTAATTCACAGGATTAATACTAAAGCAGAAGATCTGTAATTCTTTCATTACACATAAAACAAATGCAGGACAAGACCTTCCAGTGGGGTTTGGGTCAGTGCAGCCACTGCCACCTCAATGACCAGCATCCCAAACCAAGAGCAGCTACACACAGGGAAGCTGCTCACACTGCCATACCTCCACCCCAACCACAAATTAATTACCCTGAAATCATAAATGGGTTTACTAACACTACTGTAAAAAGCACAGAGAGTGAAAACCTTTAATACCCAGGAAGATAAAGCACTTGGGATCAATACCTGTCCTGGAAATGGAGGGCGATTTCCTGTCCAGGCCACCTGGCTCTGATTGAGCTGCCGGGATATCTGTGTCAGGTTCTGGCCTGTTGAGGAGGAAGTCTGGATGTCGTTGACACCAGGCACATGCACCACAGATGAACTAAGGGTTCAGAACAGACACAGAGCCTCATTTGTAGGGCCTATTGCCAATGCAGAAATTGTATCCTAGATAAAGAAATACTGACAATACATTAAAGCTAATTGTTCAATCTGTCTTGATAAAAAAGATGACTGAAAACCATCACAAAACTACAAAACATACTGGCATTCTAAATGTCAGTCCTAATAGACACAGCAGGCATTTTGAATTAGACTTCAGTAATTATTTTGAATTAGACTTCAGTAATCTCTTGGAAAGGGCATCTAAGAATAAATACAGTCCCACACATGGTGCATACACACTTAGCCTCACACAAGTTTAACATTTAATGCATAAAAAATCTGGCTTGCAGAGAGCACTGCAGGTACTTCATCACAAATTTGTGCTTAAAGTCAACAGTGTTTAAGCATTTGCTTAAATGCCATTCTAAATGAAGATGGGCACAAATGATGATACTTATAAGCACTTCCTTATTTGTTTCCTGCCTGAGAAATGAAGAATTATGTGCTACATGTTAAAAATAAGGGGTTTTAATTCCTTTTTTCACCAACTGATGCTAAACAAGAACAGACAGTTATATATACCCAGGCAAAAGAATCATCAAGACAGGAAGTTAAACTCATGTAGTAACTTTGGAACACTAATAATAAAAAAATATTTTTAAGGAACTTTTTTGTATGTTAGCTCTTTCCTACTTACTTAATTTCACTACAGAGACATACCCAGAAATCCCTAATTATAAGAAAAAATTTATGAAGGAACTGTTCCACTTCACCATTTTATTCTCATGGAAGTCTTGAGAAATGGAATCTAGGCAACTACACATTGTGACTGTACTTTTATATGTAAAACCATAGTTTTTACATGTCACAGATAAATGAATAGAAATGAAGACAGCACACAAAACCACTTTTATGGATCACTGAAACAGCTTGTTCTTTTCTCCAATCCCATCTCTATTGTTTATTTGCACAAACTTGCAGAGAGAGAAGAACGCAGACTGGGAAAAGAAGTAAACAAGGCTGAGCAGAGAGAAAAGCAGGAATCTGAATCCTTGGAAAAAGCTGACAGAATCCCCCCCAGAGTGTAAGCAAAACGTGGCAGGCATTTGAATATGTGAGTTCTTATTCTGGATTTCTTACTGTCTAAAAGCAAAGTGGATGTTTAGAAATTCTTTGTAGAGTTTTCTGATTTTTTAAAAAAAGCGTTTTATTTTTATTTTATACTATCACAGAGTCTCCAAAGAGTGAAATGTAGACCAGGAAGTCCATCTAAATCTGGCTGGAGTACACAGCAGCTGCTGGGGAGGGCTGGCCCTACTGCCAACACCTTCTCAGCTAGACTGGCAAGTCCCATCACCTAAAGAGCCTGGACTGTATCTGGAACTGTACTTTGAACGCAGATTTCTGCACAACAGTGCCTAGAGGCTGCCCAGGCTCAGTGACTGAATGGGCCAGGCCACAGATTATACAGAGGACAGTGCACTGAGGGTGAAAGTGCTGGCAGAAATGCAAGCAGTTACTTGATGTAACAGAATGGCAGTAGGAAAAAAAACTACAGCTAAACATCAGGAATTAGCAAAGGAAATGAACAGAACACAATCCAAACCCCCAGATGGGAAATCAGTCACCCAGTAATATACAATATCCAATTAAAAGACATTTTAATTTACTCTCATATCTCCCCAAGTTATACTTGGTTTTAATTTGACAAAACACACTCTCATGGATCTTATTTCTCTTCACTGAGATTATTAGCAATTATGACTTTAAGAGCACATTGGTTAAAATAAAATCAGTGTTTGCCAATGTTTTCTATTTTGAGGAACTGGCAGGTTCTGGGTGGCTGTTCTTTCACTTTCACAGCCTTGGCTGGTCTGAACAGGAGAATGAAACTCCACTAAGACAGTGCTGATATCACAAGGCACTAAGATCAACACGACTGCTGCTACCACACTCTCCAAAAGCAACTGGAACCTGTATGCCAGCTGGTAGGCAATGACACACACATAGAAGAACTCAAAAATGCCTTGGAACATGTCAGACCACCACCTTACACGTATTTAGAAGATGCCTTAGAAGAGTATTCATGCCCCTGTCCCAGTCCTCACCTGGGACTATGGGTGCAGCATCCCTCTGCTCCCTTTGATACCCACATCAACGCCCTTCAAGGCAGCCTTCAGCAGGAGCAGTGACACCTCTAAGTGCAAAACAAATCTTTGCACCCTCCGAGCTTGGTTGAATTTTCCTCAGGTCTCTGACCTCTAATCTCAGAGTTATTTCCCTTCAGAATTTTTTGTTGCTCCTTAGTTTTTTTCCCAGTTACAATATCACAGCAAAAAATACCTACTTACCAGCCAATATTTTTAAGAGAGATACCCGAATAATCTCAGTTTGTAAGCCCAGCCTAAGTGCTGAAACACAGCCAGCAGTGAAGAGTGGACACAGTAAAATTCATTAATGTAAAGAAAGCTCTTGTACCTTGGGTTGGTTTTGTTTCCACAATACTGCAGGGGGACACTTTCCCCCTCTCAGACAGGAACTGACACATTCAGGATCTGCACCAAATACCTGAAAGTCTTTCCCGAATGTCCTGGCTGAAATGGGCTTCCCTGTGAGTAAAGCTGCTGGTTCCCTGCTGTGGACGCAGAGGCCATCATTTTTTTATCTGCTACAAGAGAAAAACAAATCACAGAAAAAGAATTAATTTAGGGGGTGAGATAATGAAGGAAAAATATTTAAAGACAGTTGCAATGTATGTTTTCTTCCCTTCTTCAGGCTTCATGAAGAAGCCCTGTGGAACACATTAGGAACAACACAAAGTGACAATTTAGTGTGAAAGCAGAGGCACAGTTGGTTTGTGTCACCTCTGTGCTCTCCTCACAGGCTGTCGTTGTTTGCATGGCTCAGACCTGGGAGCTGCTCCTGACTGCACAGAGACAGCCTGGTGGCACTGCCTGCTTGTGTCAGGGTGACAGCCTGCAGCCCCACCTGCATCCCAGGTGGCTGGAGGCACTTTGCTTCTGTGTGCCACCAGACCTGCACACCTGAGCTCTGGCAAGGCAAAACACAGGTCTGTTGTGGAATTTGCTGTCCTCATGTGGCTTGGGAGAGCCATGAAATAGGATGGAAGCACCCCAGAGGGGTGGAAGACAAATGAGTGTAGTGAATAAATTGCACAAAGAGATGCCATTAACTTTTATAGTCTACCCTTAATGTGGCAAGTGGAGATCAATCTCTAATTGAATGAAACGAGATTGGGTGAACAGCACCATTTGGTCCTTTAATTTAATTTTCTGGTACTGGATTATTCCAGGGTAATCTCACTACTACTTCTCTTAAAATAATTCACAGGTCTGCTACGCCACCCTTTATTCACCTTCTCCATCTCCCCTCCAAGTGCAAAACACCCTGCAACTCACTGATGGTTTTGCACCCATATATCGCCATGTACCTGACAGGCCTAAAAATCAAGTCTACCCCCTCATTTTCCCCTTTGCTCTTTTCAGATTCCCACTCACTTCACAAGATGCTCTCTCGGACAAAAGGACTACTCAACTCACAAGTAACAGAAGTATTTTTTAGGTGTTTAAATTTTTTTTTAGCTTTCCCTAGCTTTTAGAGACCTCCTGAGTGTGACTCACCAAAGGCCTCCAACACACACCAGCTCTTCTCTGTTACCTAAGTTGTTCTTACATTATGTTCCTAACAAGAACCTAAGCTTGCCTCTCAAAAGAAAAATGTCACCTCAAATTCCCTCCCAGGAGCCTTGGAGTGTGGAAGCCACTGATGGAAGCTGGCATTGCTTCTCTCTGTAATGCAGAAATTCGTAGAAATTCCTCCCTGGCTACCTTCTGCCCTGCACAGAAACCAGGGCTGGGCTGCAAAACCACGCTCTCATATTTTAAAAAATACAACAGGGAGAAATGGGGACAAGGTGTAGAGAAGGTTGTGCATATAGGAGGAAGAACTGAGAATGGATGGGCACATCTCTGAGAAGAAGAACTGATGAATTTGTCTTTTTCTGCAGTAATGTCACTCTTGCATGAGATGTCCCATTTTCTAAGGCCACCCTTTGCAGGGAAACCAAACTCTCAGGGCTGGAAGAGACTGAGCCAAAATCCTGCGGGTGCTTTAGATATTTGAGAACAACTCAACAGAAAAATTGAGAGTGCCCCAAATGAACTGGAATTCCTCAAGTGGAGCAGAGTTGCCATGGCAGCTCCCAGGGTCTGTGCCACAGGATGAGGCCAAGACAAAGGGAACAGCTAAACTAATAGCAAGCAGCTAATTCTCCTTCCTGAGTTACCCTGAATGCTCTTTAGCCCCTGAATCTGGCCCACATCTCTCCCAGCTGTATTCCTACCCAGGATTTTTCATACAATTCGCTGCACTCACCTTTGGTACAGCACTGATTTGTTTGTGTTTTGTTGTGGTTGGATTTTTTTTTTTTTTTGTGAATTTTACCTGTTTCTCTCTAAACTCCACTGGTCAATGATGTCCCTTCTCCCAGCAGGACCAGTATCTCCAACATTTCTGCCTCTTAACTGAATCCCTCTCAAAGAACTACATCATCCCATGCTTCAAATCACTTGCATGAATCGACAAAGCCAGGCTTCCTCTCCCAGCTTTTGGGTTTTAATGCAGTGTGGCCACTAGATGCAATTATAGCAGCACTCTCCCTGTGTCAGCCCATGTTCTTACAGAACGAGATCGGGTATCAACATAAGGCCAACGTCTGGCAGGCAGCACGCAGGCTTGTCAATATTGGTTTTGGACAGGGTACCTCATCTCTAACTGGGAACCATCCTTTATCATTCAGGGGAGACCTTGATCACAGCTCCCATGAGAAATTCAGAGAGGGAGAATGTCCCAAAAAAAGCACATTCTGTAAATTGATAAGAATGAAAAGAGAAACGGCATTTCCAAGAACATAACCTCCCAGCTACCTCACAGCTTGTGACACCCTTAACCCTAACCCCTCCCCACAAACAGCTGAGAGCTGCCTGAAAAAGAGCCAGCAAGGCAGCCAAAAAGCAAGATGTTCTTGCTTGGAAAAACACATTCTGGTGTTTAGGGTTGGAATCTTGCTACCTTCTAATGGACCCCTTTTATGGCCTCAGCTGTTGTCTCCACTGTTCAAGTAAACAGAGAAGGATGAACAGGAATAGCAGAGAAGTCCTAGCAACAGGAGGACAGAGTATCAAGCATATATTGCAGTTACAATGTCTTCTCCAACTGAAAAAGCCAATCCAGACATAAGAAACCAACAGCGAGGTCACCTTCCAACACCCCTGCAGTCAGACCCTGTGGGTTGTTTCCTCCCTGCACTGCATGACACTTGCACATTGATTTATTTAAAACAAATGTAAAAATTCCTCTTTTTCAGTGAGGACAGTTAATAATAATAAACAATCAATGAGTTCTTCCCCAAACCATGGCATTGGCTGGTTTCCTACAGATATATTTCAGATGACTGCCAGTCTCACTGGTTTCTATTAGAGCAACAGGCAGCACAGGCTGGGGCTACTTTGAGGCAGATCCATCTGTCTGACTGATAAATGAACTGGCTCTTACCTCTTAAAACAGGGCTGGGAAATCCTTTGGTGAGGGCACCAGTTAGGACTCTGTCCTCACAGCAATTTCCAAGGAATATAGAACAACATATTGTTTCTGAGACTCTTATCACTCTTAGAAGAATTTGCTAAAAATATTAAAAGTTGTGGGAAGAAGAGTAAGGACTCCTCACAACCAGGTAAGGAATCCTTAAAACTCACAATATGACTGGAGATGCCTCAACTAACCAGAAAACAAGTATATTGCTGGCAGCATATGACTCTGAAAACACTGATACAGAAACTGGTGATTTGATAAAAAACTGCAGCCTATCTTAAGACTATATGGTAACTTTCTTGTCCCTTTTTAGAGAAATAGGTCCCTACTTAGAGAAACGAATTTGCCTATGCTGTTTAGGAAAGAAAATATACACTTAGAAATGAAATGTTCTGCTCAGTATATTTAGTATCTAGAAGCACTACCTAAGGTGCCCCTGTGAAATGAAAAGAGAATCAAAACCAGGCAGCTCTGGTGACACAAAAGCCATCCCTTCCCTCTTTAAATTTACTCAATCATCTTTAGGGAAAACACCAACTAATGACAAATGCTAGGAAACGTCCCAAAGACTGATGCTGCTTAGAAAATTCTCTGCCACGCAGCAGTTGCTCTTCATTCTCTTGAAGCTGTGCTCTGCATCAGGTAACCAGGCTCGACACAGTATTATAAATTAAACATCAGGGACATTCACTTACAAGCAGTTATTCCAGCAAACATCTCAGCAAATCTAGGATCTCTCTCTTGGGAGAAGATAGCATCAGGCTTTTCCACAGACTTTCCACCCTCATGAACATTAGCTGGTATACTTGGAACAGGCACCTGTTGAGATACAGAGAGGAAGGTAATTCCCTCTACTGTATTTGACAAAAAGGAATTCAGGGACAGTCACAACACACTTTTAGTTTTGCTGAAATCTGCTGTTGTTTTACATCTTAAATGATCAGAGGCACAAAAAGAAAAATCTGATAAATTTCACCTGAGATAAGTCATAAGATGACAGCCCATCTCTTTGATGTACTTCGAGTTCTGCTTGCTGTTGCTGAAGTTGTCTGCAAGGGAGACAAAATTACTTTCTTACAAAAACCAATTAAGATACAAAAAGGAATAGTCATGGTCTCCTATTTTACACTCCCAGTGAAACATGTCTCAGATGATTTACTAAATCCTTTCCTGTGAGATCCATCTGTTTTTACAGCTTTCTCATTGAGAAAACTTCCACCACAGGAATGCAACAGGGCACAGTAAGAATTTTGCTGCGACAGCATTGAAATGTAGGGGAATAAGTAACAGAGGATAGAACACAATCTCCTCCTAAAGGATTTAAAAATTCACTATTCTCAATTCATTGTCTTCTCATGTTAATGATGAACACACCAGACCCCCAGTTTGATTTTGCTGAAGGAAACAGTAAGCTTGCTCCCCAGGAAGATGCCAAATGACAGAACACCTCAGCAGCTGGGAGGTTATCCAGGTGTTTTGCACCTCTGATTAACAGCTGCTTTCTGTTGCTTGGTCACAATAAGCAAAAAAAAAACTTCTGGCCTGGAGATGCACAGGTAGAACATTCATCTTTGTGAGGCTCCTGGCTCCGTTAGCAAACAAGATATGAACCCCACAATTATACTAAATCTCAGAGATTAGGACTTAAATTGACAAAATACTTGGATTTGGTATTTGTAAATGATCCTTGACAGTGCTCACAGTTTGTGTATGTTTCTGCCTTCTTTCTGAAAGAAAAATTACCCAAAAAATGGGAATTACACACCATGTTTTTCTTTCCCCAGAAAGATGATACTTGGACAGGCAGAAATATAGGAGATTTTGCAAAACGGCAAAATAATGGATTTGAAATTCTGGAAAATTACAATTTATTTTTAGCCACAGGCTTAAATTTCAGATTTTCATTTTAGATTTTCAAATCCTCCTTTAAATTTTGAAATAGATTCAAATGCCAAGGGACTGAGAGACAAACTTGCAGGCAAAGTCAAATGACAAATTAGACACAAACTGTTGGAAACATGAGGAATCACTCAAACAAGCTACTGAAGTAAGTAACACATTTTGCTATCCCTTGAAGCTTTTCCAGGAGACACTTTGATGCGTTTTTATGCTCCATGGCAAAAATCTGCGTCCTGCAACCAACAGCAGGTCAGAGTAAGTGGCCAAAAATCTTCTGCAAGCCTTAAAGTGTGAGAACACATAACACAGGGAATAACTTTTGCTCTAGCAGTAACAAGCAGAAAAAGGCAGTCCTCCAAACTATTAGAGAGCCACGGATTTTCCCTATTATTTTAGCAAAAAGAAAATTCCTAAAAATTACCTCTGGAATGCAAAGACATCCTTTGTTCACAAGCATAAAATGCAAACTTTTCCAACAGAACTATGGGAGGCAATTTATTCGTGGGGAATCTATGGGGAAGTTTCTAAATACCACCCCGTGGACAATAAACACCCATTAAATCCCGTTGTTAACGTGAAAGCTAATTACACTGTTCCATTTGTTTTTATTACCACCGACTCAGTGTGTGTGTCAATAAACAGCACATTAGGCTCTCCTCTGTTCCTTATAAAGAATGTTTTCTTGATTCAGCCATATACATACAAATGAGCCAAACCAAACAGCACACTCACTCGTTATTTGTTTTGTAGGCACTTCTCTAACTTAGTGCTCCTTTGCCCCTCTCTATCTTTCATCTCCAATTCTCATTAAGATGCACCACAATATAAACACCACATTGTGCTAACAGCACTGAACTTTGGGAACAACCTCCCAAAATCCATTTCCTATAAAAACCAAATAGTTGTGTGTATCTTTACTGAACCCAATGCAAGCTATGCTGCACTTAACTAAGATTGAAATGGAAAACCAGGGTAGCATCTTCTGTTGTAGTTGGCTCCTACTGCATAAATAGTTTAAATGGTGCTTGAAACCTAAAAGAAAATGTGCAGCAATTCATGGAGCAGCCAACCAGGGAGAGCTCAGCTCTGCTGCTGTGGCTGCTTCAGACCCTGCCATCTCACCAGCCCTTCTGACAGCCAACACAGTCACCCAACTGCTGGACAGTAAAAATTAAACAGAACAAGGGATTAGCATCAGTTTGGGGCAAAACCTGAAGTTGCCCTCTAACTTGGAACCCAAAAATCATCTTGGTTTCACTTTAAGTTTCAGGGGTTCAAGCAGTAAATGAACAATTTCTTGGCTCTACAGTTTACCCAACACAGCAAGTGAGGCACTGCCTGGGTCAGCAGTGGATTCTGTCTGTACTGACCCACAGGTTCAGCATGAAACTCGGGAAGCCCTTGGCTTGGACAAGAATGGTTCAGCAAATCTGAAGGCTTTGACAGTTACTTCAAATTACTTCGGTAAATACACATGGAGGAAAAAGGAAGACACTGTAGAAGTTCTTCTGACATTTGAGATGATGTTAAGCTCTCTCTATGAAAACTGAAGTCACTGGTTCCCTTTCCAGGCATCAGAGTAAACAAAAATGTTTTGAACTTTAAAACTAACAGGCTCTTTGGCGGGAGAAAAAAACCAATCCTGCATCCCTAACAAGCTACTTTTATGCAATACAGGCACACGTGTTTCCTGTGTCTGGTTTGGACAAAAGCAGAGCAGTAAAAGCCTTGGGGCTGTGGTCATAAAATCCTCTTTCAGAAATTCTCAGTATCTCCTTCTTTTAGCCTAGAGCTTCAACTCACCCCTGTGAAAGTGTCTGTTTAACATCAGAATCAGGCAGACCACAGATGACACGAGAGCACGAGAAAGTAATTGCCATCACTACCACCAACTGCAATTTTATCAGCAGGGTTGATCTCTTTAGGATTTTGGCCCAGGAGAACCCAGAGCCCCAAAGCATCTCTCCCACAGGCTGATTCATCCAGCAGGCTGCTTCCAGCAGCCACCAGGGCCAGCTCACTCCAACACAACAAATCTCCAGACTCAGGACAACCACAGGACTCATAAATTCACACAGTGCAGCCCAGGACTTGCACCTTCCAAAAATGAAACATCAGATATTCCACACAGGCCAGAAAAATACATTTCTTCTTTATTTTAATGTATATACATATCAATATATGTACATGCAAGACCTTTATATAACCTGTCGCCACAACATTATTTTATTCAAGCACTGCTCTATCTGTATAATAAATAAACACAGAAAACAATTATTTTATCTCTTTGGAAATCAAACAGTCCCAACTACACAGGAAGACATGGTCAAACAGGGGGCTCTTCTTTTCAGTCCAACACAGCACAAAAGTGAAATATTAAATGCTTCATTTCTCCAGGAAGTTTCTCTTGGATGACTACACCCAAGTGAAACCCAGAGAAGTTTTATTTGCTTTTCCTTTATTTTTTTTTTTTTTTTTGCAAGGAACTAAGTGAACATTTGAACCTAATATTTCCTTATTCTTCTGTAACAAAAGCAAGTTTGGACATTTCACTGTGTGAAGCTCCAAAGGAGTATCTTTATTTTAAAAAAAGGAAAAAAAAAAAAGAAACAAAAAAAAGAAACAGAGCAACCAAACCAAGCCAACAAATAACAGTAAAAATCAATGAATCCCTGCACAACTGGAATCATCACTGCCCTCTACAGTCTTTTGGGAAAATGCTGTTCACTGGCCAACTTGAGCTATTCCATTAACAGATGCACACAGATCTAAGTACTGTGGCTGTAAGCTACCCTCAGTTAAAAACTGATTTAAACCCACTTTAATTGGCTACATTGTCGTTATGATTTCATGCTGAATTTTTAACTACTTCAAGCCTGTTTTTTATGGGGCTGCCTAGGTTACCACAGTGATAAGCATATCAAATCTGTCTCTGTGCCTTCAGCTGGGCAGAGCAAGGCATCCCTGCCTGGTCTCCATGGGAAGCACCTTGCTGGACCCAGAGCATCTTCCAGGAGCACGTAAGGATGGACACACACACCTGGGCTGGTGCCAAACCACCAGTCCAACAGCAGCTTAATGAGAAGTTGGCAATCACCAGCTACACCATGACGTACAAGTCTTCAGGGCAGCTAGGAAATCAGAAGTCAAAACATGACCCCAGATGTGGGAAAAAAAAAAAAAAAAAAAAAAAAGCCAGAAACAGGCAGGAACTGCAGTACTTTACAGTAAGCCCTCTTTGGAAATCTGAGAGCTGGGAGAGAATAAGGGGAAAACCAAAACCAGCCTGAATAATGCATTCTTTCTACTATTCAAAAGCAGGAGTATAATGGGCTGTATCTTGCCCATTTCAGAACATTTTCAACATGACAGGAAAGAGGGAACATCCTCTGTCAAAGTAGCAGCAGGCAACTTCCATATTAGGTCAGCATTTCTGGGTTGTTATTCAAACCTAGCAAGAGAGATGGAAGCAGAGCCAGGAGCTGGCACAGTCCAATTCATCACAGGGAGTGCTGTGGTGCCAAGCTGAACTGTACAGTGCAGGCTCAGAAAAAAACATTCCCAGAGTCAACACAACATAAGTCTCCAGCCCTACTTTTTCATCCATGGCCTCTTGGGAACAAAGCACAATTAAGCCAGCCTGGGACAAACCTCAGAAGATGTTCTTTACTTTGCAGGCCTGTTTTCACATACACAAATTATTTGAAAAAGTATTATGGGACAGCAGAAATGTGAAAATAGCTATTTTGATGCACAGTGCAGAGAAGCTGTCTGATTTTAAGACACATTTGCCTGTTTTCAATGAGCTTAATTATTCAGTTTAAGCCCAGCTTTTTGGGTATGAAGAAAAACAAAAACAGGAAAACAATTGTAATGCTGGGTTTCATGTAAGTGAATGCACAGCCCTTCCAGTCCAGGTATGTGCTAAAGAAGCAAGACAAGGAATGCCCAGAGGCACTTCCAAACTCCAGTGCCAAAGCCCCAGGGGTTTGGTTTTGCAGTGGAGCTCTCAGCAGGCACCTCCAGCAGCAGACTGCTCATTCAGCATTTCCAATATATGGTCTAACAAGATGAGATCTCAAACCCAGTAATTTCCTCCCAGTGAAAGACTTGGCAAAAAAAAAGCTCTGGTCAGATCAGAAGCAGATTTAGTATTAAGAATAGATTAGGTTTACATTGGAGAGAAAAAAAAAATATTAAAAAAACCTCACAATATAAAGCAATCAAGGCCAGATTAGGTTCTGCAGTTACTGGCTGAGGACTCAGCAGGCTCCAAAAGCATCTCTGCTCAGTCCACAGAGACCAACCTCCACCATACTCTGAGTGTGATCTCCTCCTAAGAGGCCAATGAAAGATTTTTGAAAATATTAATTCCAAGACAGATGATTTCATTTTCCTCTTAAGATTAGGAGTTGGATCACCCTCATACTTGGGGATATTCTATCAAATCTAAACTATAAGGAACCCTTCCCAATCAAACCTACTAGGAAATAATTCTGCCAGCTTCATTAGGTTGTAAAATAGACAGAGCTGAAGCAGAAGATCCCAGAACTACAGAATGATATGATCACAATGAACATGGACATGGAATTTTCTTCTGGCTCAGGAGTCAGGCTAACCTTCCTCCAGTACCAGGACAGCTGTGGTGCTGCTGGAAGCTCTGCATCAGTTCAAGGCAGCCTGGACTGAGATCAATGGCTTTGTCTAATGACATAACAGATAAGTGACGTTTCCCCCCAGTGCAGCCAGGCCCTGGAAGCATCACAGGATAATGACACAGGGAAACAGCTAAACTGGGAGATCTCCTGATGCAGCAAAACCCTATTACAGCCTGCACCGCCAGGCAGAAACAAACAGTATCTGCTTAAAAGATTGGGATGTGCTTTACAGCGAAAAAGAATGGTTACAATTCCTTCAAAACCACACAGGGGAGCACCCAGAAAGGCACATACTTGACATTAGTGTTGGTGCAGATGATGTATTCAATCTCATCAGAGTAAGGATTCTGAAATGTGAAGCTGCTGGTTCTGATCAGCATCCACTCCCGGTTTTTGGTGCGAAAACGATACATCACAGACAGGACCTGACCCTTCAGTTTCACCACCTGCAAAGCCATGTGGAAAGGTTAATAACAGGAGATTGCTATCTGCTGTGTAAATGAATAGTTAACAGCAGCAACTGGTGCATTTTAGACTTGAATTCCAGAAAGCTATGGGGACAGCACAGGAATTTTTAATTTGGAGAGAATCTGCAAAATCCATGTTCACAGCTATCTCCTTCAGAATGAAATCCTCAGGCTTTGTCATACAAAATGCCAATTTCCAGCCTGCTTATAAAAAGAATACAGACTCAGGACAATCATCAGGTTGTGCTGCAATCCTGACACAGAAACTTTAAGAATGTTTCAATGTGAAACACTTATCGAGAGATTAACAGAAACCAAACTGAGGATTTCGTAAATGTTTATCTGTAAACCATAAACCAATCACTGCAAGTAAACAAAAGCCTAAAACAAAAGCCATTTTGAGGTTGACTGCTTTTCTGCTTGGATACTCAAGCAGATACAATTAATATACAATTAATATATGTGAAAAATCAGCATCAAAATTTAGGATGATGCTTAAACATAGTGGTGTTTACTTTTTGGGTTTTTTAGAAACCATCAGGTGTTGGTTCCCCCCATCCCAAACATATTAAAAGATTCTCTAGGATGGCAAATTGCTAACAAGAAACATTTGCTTCTGTCTTTCAGCAGCAAAAGAGTGTTTGGATGGAGAGAACACTGATAAGCCACTGTCCATTTTAATACTATAAATTCCTTGCTTGCACAGGCCATTTGTTTGTAACTAAGAATTCAGATGTCTGGGTTTGGTAGCTGAAGTTTTGTTCAAGTCAACAGTTGGGCATCAAGTGAGGATTAAGAAGTAGCCAACTAAAGCACATTCAAAGCAATCTTCTCACACTGGCCCTGCAACTGCATTTCACGTGTTATCCAACAATCTGGGGTTAAGCCAGGAGAAAACTTTCATGGTTTTAAGTCATTCAGCTGACACTTACCTGGCCTATCTCTGTTTATATTTTACAGCTTTTCCACCAGGCTATCCCAGGGTTGCCTCAAGGAAGGAAAGGGAAGGTCTACTGCAAATAAATGCCACATCTTGTGGATTCTTAATCATTAACATCTGGAATTTACTTTTTATTAGCTATCTGCAGCCTGGATTCTCTAAAAGTAAAAGTTCCACTATTTACCCTCTGTCTTCATTGACAAGCAATTAGATTAAGAAAAATGTTCCAATGCTGCTTTTTTCAGAAGTTTGCACTTCAAATTAATCAATTGGATATGGGACTAAATGGAAGAATGTAAACAGAAGACAATGCAAATAGAAGACACAACAAGCTTTAGCAAAGCCTAGGGAAGTTCAAAATCATATTGAACTAAATGACTTGGTTGGTTTTGTTGGGGGTTTTTTAATGCTTTTACAGGGTTTTTCTGAGCTCACTGAGCAACATTCTTTTATCAGCAATTTTCTACTACCACACCCAGGGCAGAAACCACAGAGCTGGTGTAGAGTGTGCAATCTGAGTAGTATTCTACTGGGTATCCAACAGCTGTATACTGGAGCCTTTGATATTAAACTGTATGTGTTTGTCTTAGCCTTGAGACTATCTCATTCTGGCCTGATTTTTCCCACCCTGATGAATGAATTTATCTTCCCAAGGAAATGAAACTCTAAGATAGATACTGGCAATTGACCAAAAATTGCAAAACCCACCCTCCCTCTCTCCCTCCTTCCTCTGTTATGCACCAGCCTGGTTCTGATACTGTCAGCAAATCAGAAGCGTCAAGTTTTCAGGTTTTAGGAAAAAAAGGAAAAAGAGTTTATTTGAAATCACAGTTACCTTTTTAATTAAGAGATTTCTAAGACCACACTAATAATAATAAAACAAATGGCAGTGATCTATTACCCTGAAACCCTGATTAAGCAAACAGTAATTCTGTAATAATATATAAAGCAGAGAGATTGCTGGTGGGAAAATCCTGAACTGTCTTAAGACAGAGCACACAAACAAACCAGCACAAAAAATTTCAAAGCCAATGACAAAACTTTACTTTCTTATATTCTTTGGAAATAAAAACCACCTGGTGCAAAGCTTAACTGTTTACTTCAGTCTTTTATTGCATGATGGGAATAACAGACCCAAACTGCTACTGTACTGAACAAAAATACACCCAAGAAGGCATTGCCTCTAAGGAAACAACACAGTATTTTCATAGATTGGACAAAGACTGAGTGAACAGGAACTTTTCAGTTCTAATTGCATTTTTTCCTGCTGTCTTTCTGTATGACCTTAAGCAAATCCTGCAGGTCCCTGATCCAGCAAACCACTTATGCACATGCCTAGCAGTGAGTGGTGACAGTGGAGTCCCCAGTGAGTTCAGGGACACGCTGGCAGCCTGCCACAGCCTGATCTCCCTCCAGTGAACACGGGGAGGACCAAGTCATTAACTGCAATGTTCATTAGTCAGCCCTGCTGAGACCCAGGCAATCACTGGATGGATTCCCTGCAGAGGATGTTTGACAGGCCATTATCCAGCAGCTCTCTGTCACTGTCCCTTGGACAGATGAGTGGAATCAATCATTTGGGCACCACTGAAAAGCAGCATATGTGTTCTCACTGCTCCTGCGCTGTCAGGCACCAGTTCAGGAGCTGAACCAGCCCAAAGCTGGAAGTTCCATGCAAAAGGAATTAGGGCCTCAGCCCTCCCAGGACTCCCCTCAGTCCACCCAGGCCAGCACCAAGGCAGCAGGAAGGTGAGGAGGAGGGCAGGCAGGAGAGAAGGGGGGAAGCAGGAGCTCACTCCTGGTGATGGACCAGGAGGATTCAGCTGCAGCATCACATCCCCAGTGAGGTGGGGCAGAGGAGATGTTCTGGGTGTGGTGACCTGTTTAAAGCATTGAATTCTCACAGCCTCTGAATCAACACCTTGAATTTAGAAAGGCTGCTGTTTGCACTCAGTCTGTGCAAGGAACTGGAGGCACACTTGGCCATGGGGCTGGTAGTCCCTGTTGAAGGGGGAATGGTGAGAAGCAGCTCAGAAGGACGAACATCTTACACCATCTCCAATGCTTCTGCAGGGACCATAACCTCAGTTTCACAATCTGTTCTAGGGACACAGTATTTAGCTGTTTTGCCCCCAGAGGCTCTGTCTGTACATGCCATGCCTGAACACACAGTTGTCTATACAAAATGCTTAGGAGTCACTTCATATCCACATTTCACAGCTGAAAATACATCTCAGCATCCAGCACAAGATGTATCAACACAACTTGGTTGAGCTATTGGCTGTTGTTAGAAAATCTGGAACCACTTAGATCAACTGAGCCTCAGCAACAGGTTAAACATCCTGTGCTGGGTGCAGCAGGAAAGGCACTGAAAAGCCCAGGAATAAGGAGGCAGCTCAGGGAAAGCTGTGCTAATGCATGTCACAGACCAAGCTGAAACAGCAAGCTCTGCAATGGAATAAATGCCATTGATTCAGCTGATGTAAATGTGGCCCATGGTAAAAATGAATCCAAACCGGTAACTCTTCCTGTATGTTGTATTTCTTTTGTTACTTCCCTGTACAGTTCAATTTCTAACAGAGGAAAGGGGCCAAATTACATGTAGATGTAAAGTTTAACTTCATTAAAGTACATGAAAAAGCAAATCATCTGTGCTAGCAGAGAACTCAGTTACAAACAATCCAGTGTCACAGAGGAATGTAACTCTTCCAAGTCAAAAGCCCTTGGAAGGTAAATAATAAACACTTATCATAGGGGGCTCAACATAGGCATCTCCAAGACTGTTCACTCTGTGCAGCAAACAACCAAATATATAACTAGAAGATTTAGTTCTGAAAATATTGTCAATCCATGCTGCAGTTTAAGCTACCATTTATTATGCAGCTAAACCAATTGATAACTGACCAATGGATTGTTTTGTATCTTGCCACTTCTGCATAAAAATAAAATAAAAACTACTTCTGTGGACAAAATAATAACAAAATAATAAAGTGTGGAACAAAAGGAGCAGGACACAGCACCTGTTGGAAACTCTCTCGCAAATGGCTTTGGTCTTCAGGATGGCAGAATTCTAAAATATCTTTCCCCAGAAGATCCTAGAATAAAACATAAAGCTATGTAAAAAACCCAAACAATAACACAAATCCACATGTAGACCTACAAGTCATTTTTGCAAACACAAGATCTATCAAATTTAACAGGACTACTCAGTTAATCAGGGATGAATCATACAAACAAGGTTTGTAGGCATCATGCCCCACGTTTTTACTAAAAAGTTTACGTTATTTTCTAACACCTGTGAAACGGTGTCTTGAAAAGACTGATATCTGCTACTACAGCTCATTTTATGCACTAATTTTTGTAAAAACACTTATTATAAATCAATTTAAAATAAAAAACTTAATAAGCAAATGAACAAGGAACTACTTTTGCCTCTAAATTGCAACTGCTGGGAGTTATCTGAGGAAGAGCTGTGGTTCATTTACTATTCTACTCAGTTCTGTACTAGCCTCCTGTTCAGAGGAGCAGATGTAAGCCTGAAGGAAAATAGATGCTGTAAATTATGTCTGTTTACTGTTCAAGAGATTGGCAGAATCAAAGGTCTACAGGACTAAAACTCTTTTCCAAGCACTGTTAACTTTCTATCACAGAAATGTCTTCACTGGAAAGCAGTGCAAGGTTCAGAGCACTCTGCTGTTGGAATTTTAATCAGACCTAAAGGTATAAACAGATACCCCACACACAGGCGTGGACAGCAAAGAAAAACAAACAGCATTCAGTGCCTGATGTATGAATTATCAAATACTTTATGCTTGCAAATGGGATTTTCTGCATTAGCTCCACCCATTCTCCACATTCCCAGTGGCCACAGACCTGGGGCTGGTAGCCAATGACACTGATGCACCTTGGGTCCACAAAGGTGATGACTCCATCCGAGTTGTGCCTGGACAGGAACTCCGTGGGGACCGACATGCCGTTCATGTCCATGCACACGGGAGAGCTGGTCACCTGGGGCAAGAGAGTCCACACCAGTCACCAAAGCCACATCCCACCCCCAGCTAAAGGACACAATCTGCTGGCAGACTGAAGAAAGTAAAATAGAACAACAGCACAGATAAATGACACAACAGCCTTTAGTCCAGATTGCAGGGCAAATATCTCACTCCATGGCATCTATGGAGGATTAACAACACATCAGAGGTTGCCAGGAAGGGGGGATATACTGAGGACGCAAGTCCAGCTGCACTCATCTCGCTTTGCAGAACATCAGGCATCATGGTTCTATCTCTTTCAACCAAGAATGAATGACTTGCAAGGACAATGCAGTCCACTCATTTTAAGATAGGAAACCAGCCCATAATCTGTAGACCTAACCAACAGCACTGCTCAGACTAATCACTCCTCTTTCAGGTGACATGAACCTCACCTGAAACACCTGAACCAAGTCCTCCAGAGGCTGAGGTAGGGGATAACAGACCAGCAAGTGGCTGCTCATAATGAAAAACACAGTTCTCTAAATATTTCCCAAATCTCACCAGAGAGAACTGTGTGTTTTATCTCTGCCTGAAATCTGTGCTACCAGGCCACTTCATATCCATTCTTTCCACTGGAGGTACAAAGGAGACCACTGATTTTTTTTTACAAGTTCCAGAGCTATCTCTGCTAACAATGCAAAATGAGCAAAATCCCATTTTTTTGCTAACTCGGAACGGATTAGCCAGTTAACCATATGCAAGATTTAAACTTGCTGTTAGAGAACAAGAGTTTTTACTTTGTACACCCTGACACCTTTCTGATTTAACCTACCACAGAGCTTCCTCCTGCCCGCCCTCACATACCACAATGGCTCCTCTAACGTAACAGACATTTTGACATTACTTGGAAATCATCTTTCTTTGGAAGCTGTAACACATAAACCCCATAACTTCCTTTGCATCAGTGGAATATATTACTCTTGATTATGAAAGCATGATTAACCTGAATCCCACCCTGCAGTACTTGTGTAGCTCTGCCATGGCCATGGAGAGCCACTCTGCAGACGTGCCAACACCTGCAGGCTGTTCACCTCGGGTCAGATGGGTTTGGCCCCTGTGAAAGGGTCATTCCACCTTGTCAGGAGGAGTGATCCCCTCCTAGCAGATGGCAGCGAGTCCAGGGGATCATGCAAGAGGCTCAAAGATGTTCACCCAGACCAGGAAGATAAAAACTGTCCTCCCTGCTGTGGTGAAGGACATTCACCATGACTGTTTTAGCTCAGAGCTCTGAACTCTGCTCAGCAGTGCACAAAGGAGCAAATGCACTACAACAATTGCAACCGCCTGCAAAAAAAGGAAGGAAAATTTTATTCTCCTAGTTCCTTCAGCTCACATCTCATCTGAATGCATAACACAATACACACTGAGAATAAAGCTATGATTTCTGAAGTGCCTCTTGACTTCTTTATCTTTACCATTTTCAGAATAACTCCTGCAATCATAGTTTTCCAAGTAGTTGATTAGTCAGAGAGAGAATGGCTGGAGAAATGCCAGGGAGCATAGCACTGGCTTTGGGGGTCACTTTAACCCACCACCTGCAGCACCTGTACTGCCACATTTCTCACTACCTCCAACACCCCAGCCCTACACACCCTGAAGAATAGAGATCTGTGCACACTCATCAGGAGCTTCTCTGCTGTTGTTACTGCATTAAGTACACACATCCAGCATCAAAATCACCATTTCACTTTGCTCTGCTGACAAGTTCTAGACAAGTCACTGACTGCACACACATCAAGGCACTTTATAAACTGGAGGCATGTTAAAAGTTAGAGTAGTAGCAAAACAGCGTGCAAATCTTTTATAAACACACACAGAACAATGATCATGCTTTCAGAAATAGTTTGTATATGGAAAGACTGCCATTACCTGAAGCCTTCCTATTGCCACGAGGCAGTATTTACTACCTTGTCCCACATCAGCATCTTCTTCTGGTATAGTCATTCCTGGAGTAAACGATAACAAATACTGTTATAAGTAGGGAATTGGGATAAACAGAGATGCTGCTGTCCTGGCTCTATACTTTTCTAGATGCTCTAAATTTTACAAAACACCCTCATTTTCTTCTCTAAGATTCAGTCATTATTTCTGGGTTCAGATCAGATGATGCCTCTCAGTTGTGCTCAATCCTGTATACCTCACACACATATACACAGTACCCACAGCAGCAAGTTTGGCTGCTGAAGAAAAAGCAGCTAATATTCTACTAAAAATACTAAAATTCTACTAAAGATACTGAAATTCCATCATACACCAAGTTGGACAGTAACATTTCCATGAGTGCTGCTTCACCAGCACGTTATGGAACCACGGGGTCACTTAACCATGGTCACTGAATGCACACTATGTTCAGTTTTCTTTGTGAATAATATTTTATAATGAGCCTTAAAAACAAGGCACAGCCTAAAGTAATCACTAATTCTGTGCTCATACTGAACAGCTGGTTTTACTTTTTTCTATAATGAACTAAACCTGCGTTGTTATGTTGAAAGACTGAAAAAAATGCGGATGCTTTGCTAACGCTGCTCGTTCCAGCTGTGTAACAGGAGTAACTACTATAAACACAGGAACAGTTTCAAAACATATATGTGTACTATCTTCCATCTCAGTGTTTCACAAATAGGAACACTCAGATTAGCACTGTTTACTTGCTTGCTGGCTAAGCCTTGAGCTGAAGTTATTTCCCAGCTCCAGTACTGAGATACCAAATTCGTATAAAACACTTGAAAAAACGTCTTCCAGGAGTGACACCACTGACCTATTTTAAGTGATCTGTAAACTCTTTCACAAGAATTTTCAAGAAATTCAGTCATAACAGGCAGTGAATCATTTAAGAGGCACTTCAAAGCATTAACGAAATTAATTGCAAAGCAGCTACCATGCCTGAAACTACTGCCACTTTATTTTTTAAATTTATAATCCCCAGTGCAAGCCAATCTTTGGACAGCCCAGAGGATGACAGCACACCACTTTCGCGAATGATACCTCTGAAAAACCACTAAAAATGCTGCTGAATGGAGTCATCTCTAAGAATGTCATTCTGTATCAAAACAGTTGAATCTTATCTAACAATCAGCTCCCAAACAGCATTTTACAGGTATTTTTTGGTCTTCACTGAACTATACAATAAAATAAAATACACCAAGTATGGTGGAAAACCCCCCATGTTTTTGTATAATATATTGAGACTTGTTCTGCAGTAACTTCACAATCTGGGATGCACAACATTATTTGCAGCCCCCTACTAATAACTAGAATTTTATCAAGGGGTCTCAAGAGCTTTACAAAGGAGGAGCATTATTATCTCATCTAACAAGTGCTGTTTTAAGGACATAACTCTTAATCATTCTAGCTGGATAACCAAAAGATCCCTTTCAAATGGAGTTTTGCATTTGAGAAGGACACATTTAAAGCAACATTCCCCTGACCTCAAAAGCTTTTTCCAATAATTTCCTTAGTGGCACAGAGTATTGCAAAGGACAGCAAAGATACAGCTGGACAGCTTCCACTTTGCATAATCTTTTTCCTCTGTAGCTTTCAACAGTGATTTCCTTTTTAGGATCTTGGTCCACCCTTGCTACTGCTCAAATAGAATTAAAGTAACATAAACAACTTCCAAAATTAAACCTAGCTAAGAAACATTATTTCTGATGTCACTCTGTTGACAAAGGGAGGCTGTTGTTCTAATTTTCATCTTTTTTTTTTTTTTTTTCCTTTTTGCCCAAGATGGATTACATTTGGTCTGTATAGCAAAACGGAAAATGTCTTAGTTGGGTTATGCCACAAGACACTCTATGAGTAAAAACTAATCTGCCTGGAATTAATACATGACCCAGTGGATTGTTAACCCCTTCCCAAAGTTCCTAGAGAAAAAATATGACAAGATTTTCTGCTTCTCTGCAATGTAGGTGCTACTACTGACAGCATTCCACAGAGAGAAATTTTTTTCTTTATTCTTCAGCTGACATTTCCGAAGATTCAACTCTGGGTGTCTTTATATGGGAAGGTGCCATTTGTAGATCAGATTTACTTTTGCTTTAGCACACTTTCTATTGTACACACCCCAGTATGGACAGGTAAACACAGATGTGCACTGCACTTTCTACCAGTTTGTCCAGCTCTTAATAGAATGCAATATTGCTCCTTAACACCACCAAGTCCCATTGTTATCTCTAAAAAAAGTTGTAAGATCTTGGAGGAAAACAGCCATGAAAATGACCTTTAGGGGACATCCACAAAATAAACATATTTCAGTTATTCACATTCTTTATGTGTAACCCTGTGAGAGGGTTTATTTCTCAACACCAAATATACACCCCTCTTGAATAATAAATACAGTGCTGTACTTGCCTGAGTTCACATCAACAACTGGCACAGCTAAGCTGCAATTGAGCATCACAAATAGAATGCTGTGCCATCAGAGGTTATATTTAATTTCCAAGTGTCCTCTATACCAGCAAACAGTTTCCCACAGGGCAACAGTTCCTTATGTTCGTGTGGACATAAGGAATTTTTAGTTTTCCCAATGAGCTTCCAGCTGGATCTAACAGCTTCATTTTCTGCTTTCTTTCTCTCTACCCTTCTGCCCCACATCTTCTGCGAGACGCAGAACAGCACTGGTGGATTTATGGTTTTATTTCACTACACTAAAAAATAAATTGTTTATAATTCTTTAAAAAGATGGAATTAAAGTGTCCAGTGGTCATTAGCAATCCCTGATAATGTCTGTCTTCATTAGATGCACTTCTGATAGTTACTGGCCAGGGAAGGAACTACACTGTGTGACTTTACCTCTCATACAAAACAATGGAAATAGGCTTTCACAAAAAAGGCTGTGGATAGCATACTAAGGATAAAAATCTCATGAAAAATCCCAATAAAAACTAAATTAACCACTCTTTAAAAAATAAATAAAGCCTTAAAAATGACAGCACTGCAAGGAATATTCAAGCAACTAATTTGTTTTGTGTTGGAAGAGGGAGTACTTTGCACAAATGTCCAGATTCTGGCCAAAACTTTAAAATAACCTAACAGCTTTGGCATGCTGTGGTTAAGATGTTACCGTAAGTCTGACTTGGAAGACTAAAATGTTTCTTTTTTAACTAAAGAGGAAAAAAAATATTTCAACATTATCTGAATTTAACATTATTCTGTGACTCTTTATTTGAAGTTTCAAAACATGTATCTATCTCTTTGCTTCACTATGTGCTTTTGTGCAGATCCTGGCTTTGATTTACAGAAAACTACCAACATCCTGACAGACCTTATCTTCTCTCTCCACCAAATCTTATGCCACAAAAAGAAAGCAAAACAAACCTATTAGGAAAATATCATATGGACCACAGAAGACTCATTTCCTTCCAGGAATAAGGTATTCAGAGGAGAAAAAAATAGAAGAAAATAAAACCTTGCTTAAGTTGAAAACAGGAAGACCCAGCAGAAGGTCAGCACTTCTCAGTTTTATGACTGGCTATGAACCTGAAGCACTGTCTAAGATGAGGATCACAAGTTCCATCTGTGCTGCTTCGCTGGGAACAGAGGGACAAAGGATGGGATTGCTGCTCAGCCAGCTTCAAACAAGGAGTCCTTTTGCCTCATTCAAAATAACCCAACTGGCATTATTTAACTGAATATACAACATGACTGGCTGGAACATCCATCTGAAAAATCTGACTCCTTTTTCCTTTGACTTCCACACCAAGTTTACACCTCATTACTTGAGGCCAGCATATAACCCATGGGGATAGAAGTGTGCAGGTACCACACGCCTGCTTTTGCACTTGATCTTATTTTTACCTGTATTTTTAGGCACAGTGGAGAAAAATGAACAGACCATTAACACACAGCCTGAACAGAGGCTGAGGCAGGATGCTTCCTCTGTTTTCTCTCCCTTTTCTCAGTGAAGAAGGGGCTGAAGACAGGCTGCCAGGACATGAGCCTTGCTGCTCTACACAAGGGAGAAAAATCACAAAGGCAGGCTGGATGTGCCAGTGTTTTCATGCTGAACACAAACCTGAGCCACAACAAAACAAATCCAGCCCTTAAAATATGCCACCAGCTGTCTGCAGCTTATTCATTTTCACCTGTTTGAAGCACTTACATTACTTCAGATTTGCACAGACTGTCAAACAGTCTATCACACCAATAATGATCACAAAGCAATTCTCCTCTTGCTTCTGTATCAACACTGATTTATTCAGCGTGGGACTAAAAATCTGAACACTGGCTACAGACAATGCAATTCAACTCAGAAAGAGAAAATACCAAGTGCTAAACAAATGAGACTAAGTACAGATTAAAGGCATTTGATAATCATGATTCTTTTGCTTGTGACAGTACAGTTCATATTGTATATTAGTTATGTGATACACATGCCACACTGCATGCTTTGAAAGAAAAGGATCTGGAGTTTATACCAGTGTCCACTTGGCAACTGAAACATAAATTAAAATTATCTTTTTGATCACTGAATTTTTAAACTGCTGTGATTTAGCACAAGTCCATTTATTCCAAAGAACCCAGACACCATGCAGGCTTGCTGATTTGAACAAAGTAATTTTATTACAGGGTAGAGAAGCCTTGGCAAATTCCATTACTGCTGTAGTTATCTCATTTGCTTTGCAGATTATGGTTGGATTACCACTGGAAATGACAACAAATGCAGTGATGTTGTCACTTATTTACTCAAATATAGGGGAACAATTCAGCCTATGGATATTCACATTCAACTTTGAAAGCCAATGGATACATGACAATCACCAACACAAAGTGGGGAAGACTGGGAAGGCAAATAAGCACTCATGAAAAAGGCCCTGATTCAATTCTGTGTGCCCTGAAAAAGGCACCCAGACATGACTAATAGAAGCAACAATTTGGATGGTAACATAAAAGACCAATGAAATTCCACATAAGGCTGTCAAAACCAAAAACATCCCTTAGGATTAGTTTGGAGGCATTAACATTATGGAGGAGCCCTGGGATATCATAAGAAGCACCATGTGATTCTGAGGAGTGGAGTAATAGAAATGGGATGAAATCCAGCATTACTAAATGCATAAGCATGCACTTGGGGAACAGTAACAGTCATAAGCTACAGCAACAGGAATAGGATGGAACTTGATATTACTAATTGAAACATCACCACAATTCAAAACAAGATTTGCAGTTGACAAGTGAGAAAAAGGCAACCTGGAAGACATAATTTTATATCAGATGTCTTAGGATGGCTGCAGGATGCACCACACTAAAGAGAAGGATGCTACACTGCCAGGTAAGACAGGAAATATTGTTATCCATCACTACAATCTCATCTGAAATAAGAATGTGCAGTGCCAGTGACCTACATTTTGAGAAGTGAAATGAAAACACGAACAATTGCAGAGAAAAACCACAAAGGTGAAGAGAATGCATTTTGAGAATGGAAAGTAGAAATGGCTTGGATTGTCTTTGCAAAGTCCAGGCTGACAGGATATAACCTATTTGTGGAAACACACCAGAACACTGGAGAGACACAGAGGCACTAGGCAGGAAAACTCCCATTAGACCTTCAGTGAAATAAAAACTTCCCATAAAGTAATAAGAAGCAAGGTTTTGGAAGAGTTGGGATGGGGAAATGCTAACTGGAATTTGATACCTGGCCACTGGGCACTCAAAGACCCAGAAGATCATTTTAACCCCAAGCTGCCATCCTGCAGAACTGGGGCTGAGGGCACACACTGCCAACATCAGGACCTAGTGCTGACATGAGTTCTTGCATCTGTAGCTTTGTATCAGCAACATACACCCTGAAGAGTCAGATCTCTTTAAACATCCCATAATGCGTCGAAAGATTCGCATTCAAGCTAAACAAAATCTTAACTGACCTACACCTTCTTGAGGAGATATCCTCTATATAAAGGTCAAATTCAATTGCATTTAGAATTACCAATAGAAAAGTACATACTTTTGTAGAAGAAAACAAAACAGAAAAAAAAACATCCATTTTCAGAGCACTTTACAGTCACTGTGCTCTCACACTTTCGAGATAGAAGCAAAATTGGAACATCTTGACTCCTATTAAATCCCATTAGCACAAGAGGGGCAGTTTTCCTCTGCTTCCAAAACCACATTTCAGCAAAAAACTGATAAGAAGTTCACATCTGCACGCTGCTGTCTGCACAGCCCTGCACACATTGGGTACAAACCACCTCTGAGGACTCATAATCCCTGGATCAATCTGATTTATGGACGTGGTGCACAACCACAGAAGGGCAGAACAGCTCCTGGTTTGATTCATGCCAGCAGGCGCTGTCACACTGCAAACAACCTCTTCAACTCCTGCAAACGCCAAGGTCAAGTAACCCCACTCATAATGAGGTCTGGATGAGCTCCACTGTCTCCTCTTGAAATTTTTCAAAAGTAAATATTCCCATAGGTAACACTGAGTTCCAGCAGGTAAATGTTTTTCTCCGTAGATCAAAGCGGTACACCGAGACTTGATTCCGAGAAAAACAGCCTCAAAACAGAATTTATCACAAATACTGAATGTTCTCAAGTAACACCATTACTGACAACTTCCATGTGTCTAAAGTAAAATTACACATTTTCATACATAAGTGCTTACAATTCAGTACTTAAGTATAAAAACATTAACTGGTTTTCTAGAGGTACACAATCCTTCGTGTTCACCTTCTTAAAATGAGACCATTTTTATATTGGTTCACCAACATAAGTTGAAAACTCTTGGCCCCAGTTTGTGGAGTCCTGCATTACTGGCAATTCCTACAGGTCCTCTGTGGCAACGAAATGGAGAAGGGTGTCCCACAGAAAACAGGGATGCCCTGAGTGAGTACAACAGCTGATTTCTTCTTAGCAAAAGCTTCTCAAGGTGAACTTTAATCAGCTACCCCACTAAAACTCTCCCAGTTTTTCTAGCAGCAAGGAAACCTGAGCCAGGTTTTCAGCTGTCCTAAGGACAGTTTGGTGCACACTGCCCACTTTTCCATAAGGGATACAAACCTGCTGGTGGCCAAGCCTTGATATAGCCAGTGCAATGGACAACAGCATATTGTGCTTCACCTTCTTTCACTGGGCCCAGGCCATTCCTGGATGAACAAGAAACACAAAAACATCACACTGGCATGCAGAATAGCTTTATGCTTTCAAACTATGGCTACTAATGATTGACCAGTATTTCTAAGTTATGCTGGAAACACCCGAGAATCAGCCTAGGGTTCTGTACACTGCCAGCTCTGTTAAGCTGCTATTCATGCTGTACCTGTTTTCTGTAATATTTCTCTGAGAAAGATACTGAAGATTGATTCAGATCTGGAGCTGGTGTAAGAGAAAGAGTCTGAGTGACACATGCAAGAGATTATGTTTGCAAAAGGATCCAGTGAGTGCAGGAGCAGGTGACACTCCTGGAGTGGGCATTAGCCCAAAGGCAAATGAGAGGGCTTAGGGCAACTACAGCTGCTCTGTGGTAAATTAAGTAATAGTACCTGTATCTTTTTCTCATGGTGGTTATTCTGTTCAGAGGTAAATGATCCAGAGGAGCATTTCCACACCTAAAAGTAAATTAGTATTTTAAAGGGCTCAGAAATGACACATGATAAAAAGGCATTTTGAGATCCTTACTACTTGTATAAGAAGACAATAATAGATACTTATTCCTGGCAAAAAGTTGCATATTCGTGCTTACATAGAACGTGCTGCTTCCACAGGCTGAGCTTTTTAGATGTGCTATAAAAATCTTATTTAAAAAAAATGAAAGACACTAGAAAAAGATTCCCTTCCACACTCCCCCAGTATAAAGACTTTGAAATTGATATCCCAAGGGTAGCTAAAGAATAGACACACTTCAGAATGCCATAAAACAGAGGTGAAAACCAGAGAAAAATATGTCAGGCCCCCAAACATCCACACAAACCAATCTCAGTGTTCTTGTAGCTTCCCTGGACAGAAAAATTCCACTGCCAAACACCAGCTACAATGTCTGTAGATACTAAGATAATATTTGCAAGATCAAACTATTTACACTGTCAAGTGACTTTGTTTAACACTTGTTCATGTGTATTTTGTGATATTTATAAGTATGCCTAACTGTAAAATTTCAACAATCCATCTGAAGCTGAGTAAATAATTTGAAGGGTAAAAGCAGTTCATTTTTAATGGAAAAACAATAACAACAATGAAAGAAGAAACCACAAGGAAAGTTCACATTATCTGAGGCCCATTCTTCCCAGAAGAATTTTCTTTTTATTCCTTTAATTTTTTTCTTATCAGTCACTGCCAAGGAGAAGGAGTGAACAACTAAAATAAGATTTAGAAATACAAAAACAGTGGGGTTATGGGCATGTGTAAAATCACTCTCAAGCACTGGAGTTTACAGAATCAGGGTGCTAGGAAATGACTGCAATCTGAACTGTTTTGAAAGCTGGGGAACAACTGCAAACAGGACACTAGACCTGGTTTGCTATGAACAAAGAAGTCCTCCTAACAAGATGTGCATCTTGGGAGGAAGAAAAAGCAGTGTTCTCAGTGCTACTCTGCTGGGCTGTATTTCTTCCTTCCCAGTTAAGGAGGAAAAAGGTTCTATAGCTCTGAAGTCTGACCTTGCAGGTATAAAGTCTACAAACACTTTACAAAGGCACCCAAAATCCATACCTTCAGCACCCTCACAGGACTGGAAGAAATCCACCATATTACCAAGGTACATGTGTCTGTATTTTAATGTGTCAAATACTGTGCAAATACTGAGTTTCATTCTGTAATGAATTCTGCAGTGCTGTTATCAGGATTTATACTGGACATAGCCTACAGATACAATTATGTCCTTTCCCCACCTAACCACAGACAAAAATTATTGCAATAGCAACAGGCATTTTACCCTGTGAGCACTAAAACAAGAAAAGTGCTCACAAGCCCCCAAAAAAAGCATTGGGCAGACAAATCTCTTTAAAGAAGTCGAAACAATGCACGAAAAGTTTAAAAATTGCAAATCAAAAACCCTCTAACAATTACTCATTTATCTAGCATCAGCCAGCTGACATCTGGTTAATTCATACCAGGCTTAGGCTAATTCCTACATAGCTGGCTGCTTTGCAACTGAATTCTTGTTTATCTTTAAGATTCTTTTAATATTCTTGGTTTGCTGAAAAAATACACAGAGCTGGGTGTTCATAGCACTTGTGAAAGCTTTGTTCCCAAAGTACCAATTTGAGTAACTTGACTAGAGAAGACTATGACTAAAATTCCAGGGGTGAAGCTGTCATGAAGTTCTCTGGAAAAAGGAACCTACACCCCACACTCATAAGAAAAACTACAAGAGAAACGAGGTGCTGTTTTGCCATTAACTGTTAAGGAAGACTAGTTTCAGTTTCACTCCAGTTCCTAAAGCAAGCACTCTAGAAATACTTCATGGCAGTGTGACATTACAGCTTTAGTTTGTAATCAAGGCCAAATTAGTGCAACAAAACATCTGAAGTCTAAGCTGAGACAGGACTGGAACCACGAGGGAGCACAGGGTAAATGCAAACCTCATCCTGCAAATGAAGGAGCGCCTGGATCCCATGCACATTCTCATGGAGGACTGCTGACCTTCCTTCTTTACTGTCCCCGTCTTCAAGTCCAGGATTCGTCCTAGAAATGCCAGAGACAGCAACTGGTGTTCAGTACATAAATTTAATTCAATTTACTAGAAACTAAGATAACAAGAAATTCATGAGCTGAATGCTATTAGCCCAGTTAAGGGAAAAAATACCAACAAAAAAAATTTTTGATCCTGTCTCAGAGGGGAGGATCAGGTATGTGCTGGTTTCACTAAAGATTTCAGCAAAGCTGACTCTGAGCCACAGAAGTGATGGCTCTTTTCTCAGCTGGCCCAAGACCAACTTCCAGGGCAGAGTCAAATGCCTGAAGGCAAACAAGGCAATGACAGCAGGCACAGCTTTTGGTTTGATCTGTTTGTTCCACTCTTTACCAGAACTGTGGATAAAGCAACATTTATCAGACCCCTGACAGCTGCTCCTCGTTTCCCTGTGCTTGTATCCATCCAGAACACTCTCACCAGAGCACCACCTCAGTCAGAGCTGTCAGGAAGGTGAGATGCACAAAAGACCAAACTTTTCTCCTTGATGAGATACAGGATTTGTCACAATAGCCCTTGTACTGGGGCCCATTTAAAGTTGCTAAAAAATTGACATGTAAATAGCATTTCTAAAGTTTATTTTCAGACAGATCAGTGAGATGATCTGATTCACCACACAGCAACACAACCTTTTGCAAGGTCCAGGGCCAGACCCTGCTCCCTGCAATGCTCAGAATCACACACCACAGGCACAGCTTGGCAAAGGGATAACAGCCACCAAGTCAGCTCAAGAGCGGACAGAAGGGAGGGAATGCATGCAAAGGTATGAAGGGGGTAACAGATTAACTTTTTCATTTAAAACAGAAGATTGATTACTACAGACAGGTTCAGGTCAGGAATTTGAGTATCACGCAGAATCCTTCTGCTTATCACCAACAGAATGGATTTTCACTTCTAGAGCTCAAGTGCTAAGAGATGACTACAAAACCCAGCACAGACCAGAAATGAATCACTGGACCAAATCCACAATGCTGAAGGATTGGATGCAGCTACAAAAGTGACAGAGAAATCCAGTGGAACAGCTGCCAGGCAATTAGATGACAGCCACCAGTGCTGACAACATGACCACAAAAAAACCCCACATGTTTAAGGTGGGTATCTTTCAGTAACTGAAACTATACAAGCCTAAGTCTTCACTGTGGTGTATGTAGCCAGGTTTACCCAATATAAGGCACCTATTCTGTCTGTGCTGAATTGAAGAAAACATGCAGAATACATTCAAAGTCTCCCTCACCAGACTGACCTAAAAGTCTCTGTCCAAAAATGAAGTTCTGAAATAAACTTACTGCCAAACACTAAGTTCAGAATTACTCTACCTCTAAATATTGACTTCCATCCATGAATGGGAATGAAACAATTATGTAATAGTTTTAAGATAAGGAGCTAGGCAGCAGTATATGAGTTTTAAGGTATACCCCAGATAACTCCTTCTGGAGGAAAGCCACCCCTGCCAACAGAAGGTCAGACCTCACCTGGTGTTATCTCTGAGGTATATCTCAGATGGTTACGAAATCAGCAAGCCTGGGGAACAACTCCTAAAGGTGCTTCAATTTAAAGCACTGAGCTATATATTAATCCTGGTCTATGATTCAGGTGTGAGCTGGGAAGAAATCACACCACATTTCCCAGCTCAGCTGTGCTGACCTCATGATGCAGGATGGATCTGAAGTTCCAACACACTTCTCTTCCCTGCACTGGACAGTCTGTCACATCTTCTATAGCCAAAGCCACAATCTGTTTCCTCATCCCCCAAACTAATCAGACGATTTAGAGAAATAAAATACCATCAGGCAAGAGGCAAACTCATTCACAAATGAAGGCATTATACAATAAAGCACATAAAGACAGGATATATGTGCAGGACCCAAAGGCTGTCCATGTCAACAGGCCAGTTGAGTCAAACCACTAAAAGCAATATTCTCTTAGGGCAAAATAACTTTGTCATACACACAAACAAAAATCAAAAAGCACT